GAGTATGTGTGTGTGTGTGTGTGTGTGTGTGTGTCAGTGTGTTTGTATGTGTGTTTTTGTGAGTGTGTGTGTGTGTATGTGTGCATTGGTTACTTATTTATGTCGTGCAGTCAAATGTATATTAGTTTATTACTGTTAGTTACAGAAAATTCCACTTTCTAATCATTTGTCATTTTTAAAGAGACACCATTATAGATCTATAGGCCTATATATACATATATACAAAAGAAAAATCACTTTCTCTCTCACGCAATTATATTTATAAGGACATTCAACAATTCCTCTGGGATATTCTTTTTACGTCTTCATATCCAATCAAGCTCACGAGTAAGGCAGTCTATTTTGCTGGAAGTTAGAAATGAATTAAAATATGGTACAAGACCTACTAAAATGTCGGTGACTGAAACTGACAATAAAAACAACAACAACAACAACAACAACAACAAAAACCTTGGGCCACTTCTAGGTGATCTATACCATTTTTGGTGTGTTGCCCTACTTCTGTGCTATCAGAATATCAGAACAATGAAATGAAAGGAGTGTGGTCAGTGACCTTTGTAATATTCTTAACGGTCAACTCAGCTGTGTAGTTGTATCATGAAAGATAGTGTTTGTATCATGAAAGATGTGTCATGGAAGATGTCAGTGTTTGTGTCATGATAGATGACAGTGTTTGTGTCATGAAAGATGTCAGTGAATTAATATCGGAGGTACCGTGTTGCAAGTTGCACACACACGTTAAGGATCCCTTGGTTGTTCAAAATCGATAAGAGTAGGCTTCGGCCACCACCCGGACAAAACTAAAAAATGTACTGCCAACTGAAAAGTGAGAATGTTTAATGTGTCCCGCGCGCTCATATATGACCTTAATTACATCATAATAATTTGAGCCGTGTGCACAACGCCCAAAACTGTTTCGTCGCATCAAAATACTCTGTTCACCCCTTTTGGGTCACTTTTATAAGCTGTCACGAGCACTGATCGTGTTAGCTAACGATTGGATAGGTGGAGTCTACCTCAGACCTACAGGGAGGCTAACCTCTAATAATCTAGTAGTAGTAGTAGTAGTAGTAGGCCTAGTTGCTTCGAGTGCTTGCTTTTTGTCCTTGACCTTTTACCGCTCTAAAATCAGGTCATGATCACGTTTTCGTGGCCGTAGGCCTACCGTGGCCGCGAAAGAAAAGGCGAAAAGCTTGCCTAGATCATAGATTTACACAACACTACTAGCCTAAGGACTAAGGAGATAACTCTATGGCCTAGATAAAGACCTCCAAATTTGGAACCGAATTTCTGATAGGCATACATAATTTGTAGTATAATCATCTCTGCTACTTTGCCTTCTGTTCATACATTCACATCTTTATTTAAGTTTTCTGTAGAAAAATCTTGCATCTAAAAGCTTTCGTTTTGCCCAAAGTGGGAATAAGATTATTCAGTAAATGTGATAATTTCTCCATCATTTTGGCGAGAGAACACACAATTTTTCATTCACAACTCATTGATGCCGCCTCGAATTATTATAATAAAACAAGCTCTTAGTATGGGGACGTTTTTCGTGTGTGGCCTCATTTCTGCTCGGTTCTTTATTTCATTTTGATCACAGTTTAAAATAATTCATCCTTCGCCCTTAAAATGTCAATATTTGTTTTATGTAAGATGTCAGTGTTTATGTAATGAAAGATTCAGTGTCTATGTCTTTAAAGATGTATTTATTTCATGTAAGATGTTAGTATTTGTGTCATGAAAGATGTCAGTGTTTACGTCATGATAGATGTCAGTTTTCTGTCATGTCATGTCAATAATGTAAGTGTCATGATGATGATGATGATGATGATGATGATGATGATGATGATGATGATGAGGAGGAGGAGGAGGAGGAGGAGGAGGAGGAGTCGAGGAGGAGGAGGAGGAGGAGAAGGAGGAGGGGGAAGAAGAAGAAGAAGAAGAAGAAGAAGAAGAAGAACAACAACAACAACAACAACAACAACAACAACAACAACAACAACAACAACAACGAGGAACTGAACAAAAAGAATAAACAATAAGATGAAAATAAAGAAGGAGTGCCTATTTTTTTAATGCAAGAAATATTCATGACCGGGATAAACCTCCTGGTTGGAGATAAATAAAATCTACATTGATTTCATTTTATTGATTACCACGTTGTTTTCGTCCTTAACTGTCCAAATACACTACGGGAATCAGGCGCTCGTCTACTTTCGGCCACCTATAGTTATTGATATAATCTAAAGCCTGTTCATTATATGCCTTGCTTTAGATTTTTTTTTTTAATATCAGTATCCCTTGAATAGATCTAGATTAGAAGTCGAGATATTAGTTGCGATTGAAGGAGGCGGCGGTCGCCAGGTGTCAGAGGTAGATGAATGTCATGGACTTGGCCAGTGTACTTAGCCTACCCAGTCTCCAACAGCGCACGTATGAAAAAAAACTTAACTGTAAAGTGTGAGCCGATTTGCGAGCTGTCGAGCTATTGAAAGATCGTACGTGCTGTGCGGAAGTGGGACAGAATTTCTCACCAAAACATTGAAAATGTTATAAAATCCATGTGAATAAGTATTGTGGTCTGTTTAAAGGTTAATAATGGCCGTACAATTAACTAAGGTTAAGAGATCTTTTTGGGGGCTTCGATTTGTGTTTATCTGCAAAATTGTCTTAAGGGGGCAGATTCTACGTCGAGAAAGGGGGGGACAATACACGTATCGAAATCATTCAAGTGTGTGATCAAAATGGTTCACATTTGTTGGAAATCTAATAAACTTTTAAAAACACTTCTTTTAATCTATAATATATTTATTTGATACAAACGTGTTCAGGCAATGCGAACGAAGTGTTGCTGGCGTTCAGCAGGCCTACTATGCCTACGAGAGAGAGAGAGAGAGAGAGAGAGAGAGAGAGAGAGAGAGAGAGAGAGAGAGAGAGAGAGAGAGAGAGAGAGAGAGAGAGAGAGAGAGAGAGAGATCAGACCCTGTGGGGGGGGGGGGGGGGGAGACTCAGCTAGGCTACACTGTTATAAATCCTACAATATCATTGTGATCAATTATTGTTCATGGGCCAGCTGTTACTACTGTTATGTGTGAAAAGAGTGATAAAAGACATAATAAATATTTAGATAATAGGCAAATCGAACCCCAACGTTCATAACCAAAAAGGATGCAAAAGATTTAAGATTTTTACATCACGTATAGGCCTTGCCTATATTTTTTAAACCGCGGTTTATCTTTAAAAAATGTTTTAAGATTGATCCTCGATTGAGCGAAAATACAGCCATCAGGATATCTTCGATTCCTAACACAGTTATATGCCTAGACAATGGATAGAGGAAGGATTGTCAGGGAGCACTCCCCTCACCGAAGCCCTCCCCCAATAAAAAAACAACAACAAACAAACAAACAAGAGTCCAACAAATGTGTAACTTCTGTATGCCAACGGGGAAAAAACAACAACCTAGGTACATTTGTTCTTTTCTTCCAGTTCCACGGTCAAAGTCCATGATCTAGATCTAAATAAACTAGGTTAGGCCTAGGCATAGCCTACCAACTCTACGAACCCTCATCAAAGATAGTATCATCAGTTATATAAGTAGATCAGGTTTGCTAGCAGCTAGGCCTAGCAGAAAGCGGAGACATCACCGCAGTAAGTCACAATTCAGAACCGTGTGTACAGTCGCTAGCTAGCAGTTAACAGCAGCAGGCTAGCAGACTAGCCTAGCAGTCAAGTTAGTCAAAATTCATCGTCAACAACGACCTGGAAGGCCTTCACTCTGTCTGCTGGCGGTGGCGGTGCAGTCGCAAAAACTTAACGTGAAAGCTGTTGTCATTGTGTAACGCTCAGTTACTACACACTACACTCACTCGTACTCGCTCTTTCATTACTGTACTGTTATAACTCCCCAAGCGCACGGTAGCCTACTGTTAGTTGCCGTTTAATAAGTGCTCAGCAAGCAGGTGCTGTTGTAGACTATTGTGACTGAACTCCGAGGGACACGAATCGAAAATGTCTTCAGGATTTTGCAGACTACAGCGATGCGTAAGTGTGAGTCTAGCGCAAACTGAACTACTCCACCTCGTGTCCTTACCATTAGATCTAGATTCTAGATCTAGATCTAACAACAGTTTAATGAAGAGAGTAGTCATAACCTAGAAAGCTAGGCCTTGTTATGGTAGGCCTATTACTATTATAAAAGAAGAGCAAGCTGAATGAAGGCTGGTCTATTTTTACCCGTACCCTCAGCTAACTAGGCTAATAGTTAGTGTAAAAAAGAAAACAACGTCTTGTCTATTAGATCTAGATCTAGACTTAGAT